TCAGGGGATGGCCAGAAACTTCTGTGGTGGTAACCAGCACAGACACTTCAGTCTCCTGTAGTTAAAGATCTCCTTGCAACAGGCCCACAGGCGCCTTGATTTTGAGAGGTCAGGAGCTTAGCCCGTCCACAGCACCAACTCCTTATTTCAAAGTGAGTGGAAGCTGGGTACCATGTACCTAAATTGGAGATGCAGGCCATTTCAAACCCTGCTTGCCACTAAAGGAGTCTTCAGAAGAGGTGATTTCAGGGAGATGCTGGAGTAAATTGCATTCTGAAACCCTTTGATTTCTGACGCTGACCTCACCCTTGCTGAGGCTGTTCCTCCTTCATTATACTATGGAAGGAGCCATCCCCAGCCCCAGCTCCGTGCTGAAAGCCTCGGCTGGATTTCCAGACAGAAGAGGAAGTGGTGTGGTCTACCCAGAGCAGCTTGGCACGCTGAGGAGCTCTGGGATCTATTATCCTCCAGCATGCAGATTTGATGGGGGACGAGAACAAAGCGCAGAGCCGGCCAGAAACCACAGACCTGTAATCTTTCCAAATCCTGAAGGCGGCTTTTGTGCATCCCTCTCTGCGTGGCTCCTCAGTCTCTGACTCTCAGAGAGGCCTGGAGCGTCTGTTTTCCAGATCACAGCCAAAATGGAAGGGAAAGACAAATCTGTTCTGTTTGGTTTCCATAGATTCGACCCAGAGATTAACTGCCAAGGTCTCAATGACACACACAGTATCAATCACAGGCTAAATGTCATAATGAGAGCTGGGCAGGTTGTCAAGAGAGGCCTCCAGGTTCCTGTTACAGCTTCATATTTAAAGGTTTGGTCCCAGGAAACCAAATGCCAACTCGAAGGCTGCTTGGCCTATGTACAGCATCAGCCTGTCTCTTCCTCAAAGGATACCAAACTCAAGCTCCCTCCTAGAGGGGCCAGGCGGGTTACACAGAGGAGGGAAATGAGTTGGGCGTTAAAGAATAAAACAAGCAAAAACCTAACTGTTGACCTCAGGCAGGAGACATCAGGGAGTGGGCGGGACTATGGCACACTGGAGAGCAAACGCGCCCTCTGAAGGGGGCAACAGCTTGCCATTCCAAGTGGGAATGCAAGCCCAGATTCTCTGATCTTCTTATGAGAAGTCAGAAAGCCAGAGTTTGGTGTGAAATCTGTAGGTTTTTAAACATAGGCAGCTGTAGCAGATACCATCCCTGCCCTGTCTCATTCCTCGGCTCAGATCACTGCAGCACAAAGGGGCAGTGCCCTTATACACAAAAGTCTGCCTTTCTCAAGCCCCTGTAATTCCTTGCTTGAGGGATTTTTCTGGTACTTGCAGTGATCAGGCCTATAGTTAGATTTCTTTCTGTCACCACATATTTGGCCCTTTTTACGGGCCCTTTTGGCTCATCTACCACCCTTTCCCCCTCCCCCGCACCTTCTGGTAACCACTAGTCTATTGTCCATGTCCATGAGTCTCTGTTTGTCCTGTTCCTTTGTTGCTTTTAGATTTATATCCCACATATAAGTGATATCATGTTGTTTTCAACTTTTTCTGCCTGGCTTATTTCACTTAGCATGATTATCTCGAGGTTCATCCATGGTGTCGCTAATGGCAGTATTTCATCTCTTCTTACGGCTGAGTCATATTCCATTGTATTTATGTACCACAGCTTCTTTATCCAATCATCTATCGTAGAACGCTTTGGTTGCTTCCATGTCCTGGTCAGGCCTAAAGTATAGGGCGTTACCCCAGAAGTCATTGGCAAATGAGGGGCAGGACTTAGTAGATAAATACCCCAGCTTCCTTCCCCCTGAGTGGGACCATTTTGAAATCTTTCTACACCGTCTTCTGGAGGCTCGCCGTGTGCTCCAGCCCCAGCTTCCCAGAGTGGCGACCTGCTCACTCACACGTCCCTTGCTGGCTGTCTTCCCTCCCAGTTTCACTTGTTCACTCCACACGGTGCTTTCTGGAGCATCTCTCAAAGAACTGACTTGCACACAATCCCTGGTCTCAAGGTCCACCTTTGAGGGAACTAAGATACTAGTATTTTAAAAACATTTTTTAAAGATACTGTGACAACAAAGAATGCAGAAGCCAAGTGGTACTTGAGCACTAAGGCCTGGAGTGCCATTTCCCACTGCGAAACAGTGGCCTCACCTTTGAGGAGCTATTTCCAGGAAGAATCAACACAGGGACCCTTCATTAGTTCTGACTCCATTTCAGA